TTCTGAGGGTTTTCACACTTTTTCTGAGTTTTTCTGGGTTTGCTTGTTCCTCCTCCTTGTTCTATTTGACATGTGCTCCGGATTTGGCTACCTAGATAGGACTGTCAGTTTCGTTTGAGTTTCCACTTGTGGTTACGCTACAGGCACATCCACTTTTTTCGCCAAGAGCAACATCAATCAGCTGTAGTAAAAGTAAAGGTTGAGTGCTCCACCCGTATCGGGGGCCCCTGATCTCCTGCCTTGTGGACCGCATCGCCGCAATGTGCAGCATGTGCAAAACGTGCCTACCAGAAGACGAATCTTTTCACCTCATTCAATAGGCAGCTTATTTTGTTCCAAATTCGAGAGATTAAATTTTCGAGATCAGAAAACATTAAGTTTGCAATTCACTGCTGGTTGTTATGATAGACACGCTGAACTGTGATCCCCTAACGTTTTCCTAATGATAACAGTCAGTAGAACTATGTGACCAATCCACTGCATGGATACCATGTCGCAGGATCCCTGTCTTCTATCTGGACGATCCATTTGTGATCGCGTTCTCCTGCCGAAAAACATGTTTCCTGCATCGCCTATTTCTCAAAAAGAGCAGAAGGTGGGATTAGTCACTTATTCGTATTCCTGGCTGTCCATGTTTCACTCTGAAAACGCAGGCTCCGTTTTCCCGCTTTGTCCTCCATAACAAACCGCATGCACACCCCGTCCTTAATTGAATTTCAAGGACATCAGAACTACTGGCGAGGGCCACTACAAAAAGGCAAAATCCGTCGGGATCATCAGCACTGATCTTTTTTACAACCGAGAAGACGGTCTAACCAGAAGATTCCTGAGATATTGTTCGTTTTAACTTGGCAGTTTCTCCAAAGACCTCCACCTCATGTCATGATGTTGTAGTATTTTCACGGATAAGCTCTAATCTTGCCATCTGTTCCTAAGCAGTAGATGTGGAAACACTCGTTGCGATAGTCTGTCATTTACGCTCATCGGAGAGCACCTAAAACTGTCATCATTCAGGTTAGCAAACTATTTTAATCGTTCTCTCGATCAACAAACCAAGTGTTGTCTAAGGCGACTCGGACTATTCTAATGTTGTTTTGTGTTCCACTGACTGCTATCATTGAAAAACGACAGGGGATCACAGTTCAGCGTGACTACCAGCCGCCAATGAAATGCGGTCCTGACTTGACGGCGGCAACGTTACTTGCTTGAGATCATATATGAGACAACCATGGCGACCCCGCTCAGGAGTAGCAGGCTAAAATGACCAAACTAGCATGAACTCATGTAGGAGCTACCAGTCTTTTATTCGAAGACATTTTTTTCCTTGAACGTCCACGTACTTTCGTTTTCATCGCAAAGATCTATTTTCCGTTTTTTTATCTCTATTTTTTTCTTGAGCCGTCTTACGTATTTTCGCTCCAAGAGAAACTTTTCTTCCAATTAATAAAAATGTGTCAATTGCGCCACGACGGATGCTGTCAACTAAATACTATAGGCCCCCACTTGCAAAAATCGGATGTGATCTTGTAGAGTCAACTTTTTATTTACGTACTTTTCTTACGCACTGTATTGATAGAGAACCCAGGCGGGTAGGCTCCTGACGCCGCCCCGACTGTCTGCAACAGGCGACAGTATTAACTTGATAATAACAATATGGGCAAAAGAAAGAGAGCTCAGAACGAATCTAATATTTTCCAGATCGTTCCGAGTGGGGATGTGGAGAAGGACGTTGATGAAGAAAAACCGCCAAAAACATTACACCTCACCACAACTGGATGAAATTCTTCTGGAAATCGGACTGTAAGACTGATTACGTTATCAATCGAATTTGCCATGATCAATTAGAATCACATTGCAGTGCGTTCCGAAAGAGAGAATATACTGTAGCTTGAAGAAGGAATGGAATTAGTAGACCCACTTCAAACTCGCGATCATGCCGTATTTTGGATTGCTCCAACATACGTTTCGCAGCGATGACATCTTTAAGTTGCCCGAAATGTGGCGGTGGCTCCGCAATACTGATGGATACATGCCATTTTCACTTTGAATTTACCACTTTTCAAACCAAACTCACCACTCTTTTCAAACCGGGCAGCCACCAATCAGATCACGCCAACCACTGCGAGCTCCGCGCCGAGGCCACGCCTACTTGTCAACGCGGTCATAGATTTTCAACTCATCGACCCATGACCGACTCCGCCCATTCTTCAAAGGATTTGCTTGCATAATTCGAAATTTCATAACTTTTTTATCTTTATAGTTCCACATCCATTCTTTGCACAACGGAGACACTCGTACCCGCGCATTTATGCACTGACAACTGGGGCTGCACCCCCTTGGCCACGCCCACTTGCTCTGTTTGCCTTTGATATTTTTTTCAAAATCTTTCCATTTTTGGAGTGCTCCATGAAGCCCCGCCGACTGTGAGAGGCTCCGCCCACTTCGAAGGAGACCACTTTTCAAACATGGTGCAAATCGGCAGTATAGAGTCTTGGTTCGTATGCTAGCGGCCTTGCTCCGTCCACTCAGGGACAAACTTTGGGCCGGGAATTTATTTTTTCCCAGTGACGAAACGAGACCACAGCCATGCGAGCAAGCACCCTATACTGCCTTATTCGCCACCATGTAATTCTGGGCGGGGTTCCTTAGGAAGTGGGTGGCAGCATCTCACAGTGGGAGGGCCTTCATAAGTCAGTCCAAAATAGAAGATTTCGACAAAATTCAAAATTCCGCAAAACAGCAAGTCGGGGCGTGCGAGCGGCGCAGTCTAACGTTCGTATCAGATGCATAACATGCGCACGCGTACGAGCGTCTATCGTTGTTGCAAGGAATGGATGCTCAATTTGAAAACGTTGAAAAGTTACGAAATTTCGTATAGTCGCACAAACCTTTTGAAGGATAGGCGGAGTCCGGCCATGTGTCGATACGGCTGAAACGGAGCTCGAAGTAGGTGTCTGGCGCGTGATTTCTGTTGGGAGAATCGGTCTGAAAAGAGTGGTGAATTTGATTTGAAAGGTGGTGAGTTTGGTTTGAAAAGTGGAGAATTTAAAGTGAAAATGGTATATTTGATTTCGAACATTTCTCAACAAAAAAGTTCAATTTCGGAAAATTGCAGGACCTTTGCCCAACGTTTTACAAAGAGGTGTTCGAGCAAATATGAGTTGGGAAATGTATGGCCCGTTCCAGAAAGGGGTTGATCAACGCGTCCTGCTTCAGCCTGTCTACCATGAGTTTTCAGACTTAGCCCGCATTCGGTATTCATCACACTCTCAATGGCATTTCTCTGGTGTTTATCAGCAATGCCAACTATGTCGCCAGGCCTACATGTCTCCACCATCACCTTGCCTTCACAACTGCACCTTCGTCACCGTCCAAGACGAGGTACTGTGCCGTTTTCTATTGTACTACTCCCAACTTGTCGCAATACTGTAACCTATTGTACTGTATTGATTCCAACTGGTCGTCTTCGGTTTGGCTCATGTTCTATAATATTGCACTTATTGTTGATTACTCATAATATGCTGTGCTGATGCTTTCCAGCTGCCTAGTTTTTCCCCGTCAATTCAGCTCTTCTGATTCAGTTCGAGCTGGAACGAGCCATTATCGATCCTGCCGAGATGACGTCATCAGTATATTTTCTTGGCAATCTGGTCCTTGGTCAGATGTACTGCATGGCGGCTGACAGGTGAGCTCAAACTGCTACAATACGCCCTGAATGAGCTGAACGCTGACTATTTTCGAGGATCGGCCGCCGGCCTGTACTGGTGTGGAGTTTGTTGGTTTCCGGCATAGCAGGGGTTCTGGCGGCTTTCGCATCGAACTTCTACCTGATGCTATTCGGTCGATTTATTCAGGGTTCTTTCTTCAACGTGAGCTTTTTTTTGTTGGTTAGGGATTCCTATATTTCCGATGAGCTACTACTAAAAGTTAAGATGGGTGGAGCTAGAATTACTACAGCGTGAAGAGTCTAACACCCCATTTCTTATACGATCCGAATCTATCGATTAGTTCTATGGGAACATTATTAACATGAAATATTTCAGTCAATAACTATGGTCAATTGGGTGATGTGCTGCGAGTCAATCGCGTTCAAAGGTCATTCCTATGCATCTGTGATTTTTGGTGTATTCTGGGTTGCAGGTGCTGTTCCTTCTAGCTTTTCTAGTAATCATTCAATTATTTCTTTCAAAACTTTTTTCTTTTGTTCTCTTAAGCTTCTAAACTGTTTTTATGCTTTTTTTTTACAGATATTTTTCTCAGTTTCTCGTTAGTTTCTTGACAAATGACCTAAAAAGGTGAGCTCTGCGAAGCATAGAGAGACGAGAGAATTAATTGCTTACACCCCCTCCCGTTACCGCAAAGGATGAAGGGATAAAGTTTTTGCAAGTAGTCAGTCGTCTCCTCAGACGCTTCCTGGGCACGTTTCGATTACTGGCAGCATCCAGTATTCCAGTACATTCAGAATCGTACTGGTCTACTGGATGAGGGTACGCCTGTACAATGACTGAGAGTGAAGGAGGGCGGGGAGGGCAGCTGATGTAGAAGCCAGTGTTTCTATCCTGTCAAACTTGACAGGAATCAATTTACATTTCCGGATTGCTGAAGGCTGGTTGGCTTGGCTGGCAGCCTGTTCGGGGTTGACCATCGGACACCGAGCATGATAAGGCAATCATTTGCCGCTAGCAGCACCAGCACCACCGCGTAACAGAGACAAACTTCCTATAGACCCCCACGCCTGCTTATTTGTCTGTCTGTCTGTCCATCTGTCTATCTGTCTGTCTATTTGTCTGTCTGTCCGTGTGTAAGCGTGTCTGTATTTTGCCCGGGAACTGGGCTTTACCTGAAGGGCCGGTTCGAGGGCCGGGTCAAGGGTGGGTTCGGTAGGGCGTGGACCAAGATGTAGACGTCGCAGTTCCCGCTCTTAAGGTTATCATAAGAATGCTGAGTGACAGGCAGAAATCAGACCCCAGACAGCACTCGAACATTGAGGTCCCGATGACTGAGAGAGTATGTTTTCCTTTACCCTACTGGGACCTCTCTTACTCTCTCAGCTCAATGCTGTACCAAGTAATGACGAAAGACGACCCGCCCCTTTCAGAAACAGC